AAGCAAGCTAAACCATGTCGAAACTAAAACCCAAATGCAGCATTCTATGTGGGGCCAGCGAGAGCAGCTGTCATGAGAGTACTAGGTGCATTTGTTTCCACTCCCACCTCACCTAATCTTCAGTCTGTTAGAAGGCAGACAGTGGTCTTCACCCAACTTCCATTCATCCTCTGCATTAACAAAATGAAACAGTTTAGTCATGAACCAATCAGGAGGTTGTTTCGGCACCAACCCCTTAGGAGGAACAGAGAAAGAAGCAGGAGGGTACAATATTTAGCCTTACATCGTGAATTAGCAGGAGGTAGAACACCAGCAGGACTCTTTACCTGTAAACAGTGAAGCTGCTGCTATTTATTAGGGTAAAAACCTCACAGGCAGCCAGATGTTTCCCTAAACTCATGGAGACAATGGATTCCAAAATAAATGACTGTTTTGGTCATGTGTGTCGCATCATTTTTAGCAGGGATTTGTTCTGTACTGTCAAACACATTCATCAGTGATGTAAAGAAAAACGTTAATAGCCCATAGATTGCGTATTGTTGCAAAAACAGCCAAATTCCAAGGAGAGAAAAAAAAAATAGGAACACATTAAAGCTGATATATCCAGTGAGGACAGCTGTGTGGATGCCTTGTTGCTGTCAGAGGTCAGAGAAGAACAAGCAGGCTAGTTAGAGAAAAGCAACAGTACCACGCCTGTCATCTGAGAACAGGAAGCTGAGGCTAAAGCACATAAAGGTTTAACAAAATAGACCATAAATCAGGTAAACACAGCCTGCTCCCACAAGTCAATCTAATCAGCAACGTCCAGATATTATGGATTTGCATCTATTCATCGATCTGGATATTACTGTAGATAACCTCTGGAAAATAATGGTACAGAAGGGTCATAGATATGCAGTTAAATAAGCCACAGCAACTGCATGATAAACTAGTGGTTTTTCTAACCTTATGACTGCCATATGTGGACTCACTGTATATACTGTATATATCCCATGCACCTTTTCTTCCTTTGGCACATTCTTCAATCAATCAATCCCTAATCCGCAGTATTTGTCCCTTTGTAAGGGAAAAAGTCCCAGATAATGAAATATAACTTCTGTATAGTGCCTTGAACAAATTTTCTATTTATATGTTTATAAGGCACATTGCTAGGTAGAACAATAGGGAGACTATATTTATTTTCTGCAGGACTGTGATGCTCGTTTCAGTGAAACTGAATTTTTTATTCTTATTTTTTATTGACATTATAACTTGTTTTGGGGCAGTAGAAAGAGGGTCTTGTCCAGGGTATGATTCATGCATACACCACTGCTGCATATTAATAGGAACCAAAATCTCTGAGGAACTTTTCACAAATCGGACATCTAAGATTTAAGGCTGTTCTATAAGGAAAAGCGGTTCAACTTCGTCCAACTAGTTAGACTGGTTACTTTTTTGTTGCCTTGGATGAGTTCATTTATATGAAATCTTAGCTCATATGTTAAGGGCACAGTAGATGTAAAAACCCCAAACTTGCTGTTCACCTGCCAACTATGCTTTCGAATAGCATGACTGCAGAATTAAGTCAGAGGAAATTATGATTTGTGGAATTTTTTTTTTTTTTCTCTGAAAAGCAATGAGTTTCAGAGGAATATTCAGATTCTAACCAACTGTTCCTCAGAGAGATGCATCACAGACCTCAGACGACCTGCAAGCCATTTCTGTCACCCGGCTTTACGGATTTGGCTCCCATTTTCTGGTATGAACAGCAACATCAAAGTGGATAACTTTTTCTCATGTTGCCATAGATATTATTCGTGTTTTTCAGCTTAGGTTCTAGCTTGGCTTAATAACAGCAAAATCTTCAACATGTGGTAGTTCTGAAAAGTGTCCTGTGCAGCAGCAGCTTGTACAAGAGAGGAAAAATTACTCCTTTCTCAGGTTTGATTTGTGAGATGAGGAACTACCGAGGTTTGTTGTTTATTATACATTTTGCAAGTTTGTCAAAAATACAGTCTAAGATATAAGTATGTGTATTTGTTTAGTGTCTAGGAGAGCTGATATTGTCTCAGCACAAAAACAGACTGTGCCAACAGCTTTGACACGTACATGCAGAGATGCAATTCAGTGTACAAGTGTAGAGACCCACAGCTACCTCTATGGCTGTGTGCAAGTGTGTCTCGGCTTGCAAGTCATTTTTTCTTTCAGAAAATCCGTGTCTCCTTGGCCTCGCCATCTGTTCTTCATGCTGTGAAACACAGCCATGTCTCTTGCTCCAGGCGTTGTCACATGGTGGGAAAGTTTGTCAAAAAAAGGAAAAGAAAAATGAGGACAGAGGTGTTGCAGGACAGGGCTGGATCTCCAAAGGTGAGGGGAAGGCATTGTTACGTTTAGAGCAGTACAGATTAGTATTCCTGCTGGAGCTAACTAATCCATCCACAGGACTTTAGATATGTTTAAATCTTTCTACGGACACTGACTGCTTTTCCCCTCATTTCTTAAAAGAAAAAAATATTGTTTCTGATAGGTAAGAAAGTTCATTCTGGCCTTTGGATTATTAAGTTGCTGGAGTCAGGATGAATAAGTGTTACTTGCATATGATAAACCATATTAGGGAAATCTTTCATTGTTCAAAAGTGGGAATATTCAGAGTAAATGTCAATAATGTGAATGTCAAATGATAGCATGTAGATATACATATATACATACATCTAAACAGTACCAACTGTTACTCAAGTAACCTTGAATAAAAGCAGCACAGCAAAGACCATAAAAAAATAAATAAATATGACAATGTCTTATTGATGTTATTTACAGTAGACCAGGTTGCTAGCTTTAGTTTTTTAACATGTCATGTTTAGTTTCTCCAGCCAACTTGGAGAAATTACCAAGGCTACAAAAAGACACAGGGGAAAGTAAAACGAGTGGAACGGAAATATGTAAGGAGAGTAGATAGCAATGGGAAACCTTTACAATAATAAAAGAAGAGACGGCTACTATATGTGGAGCTTTTTAATGAATGTCGTCCCAAATGCTCACCATCTAAGTATTATGGCACAGGGTAAGAATTATCTTAAACACTCTTACACAGTTTTATGCATTATATCACTTGATCTTGTTTTCCTCAAACAGCTGGAGATGCTTTAGAGGAGGGATGTCCGAAGTATGGATCAGTGGGAGAATCTGTGAATCTACTTTTTGTGTAGTGTCTGACGTAACTTAATGGTATAGAGGATGATCTTTTATTTCCGAGTGGATCATTTAAATAAGCGGTCCTCTTAATTGTCAATCATACTGGTGATATGTTTACTTAAGACCGTCCTACGTGCTGGCCCTGTCAGCTATCTTTTTCTGTGCATGCACACTTTTAGCCGCATATGTGTGGTGAGCTACAGTTTCAGACAGTCAGTGAAGCTAATCTTTCTCATTGAGGTTCTTTGAAAATGGCTGAGGGTCGTAAGAGGAAAACTGTATGAGAAGAAAAGAAAGGCCTCAGAAGAGGCAAACATGTCCCAGAATGCTTTGTGCGCAGAGCTCTTCTCGCAGAGTACTATGGCTTTGCTGTCATAGCAGCCCGCTGTTGCTACCCGACAGAGGAGACTAATAACAAAGATGGAGCAGGAACCTCAGGGAGGAGGACAAGTTATGTGACCAACAGAGCAAAAAGAAGCGATCATCTGTCCCAACGGTCAGTTAACTGAGTTCGCTATAAAGTCCATTATATAGTCCTCGCTCTAGGGGTTAGGTCGGATGTACACAGTGGATGCACAGTAGGCTTGTATGAACTATGAGAGTAGCAACTTTTAAACAGAGCGTGTACAACGACAAATGGCCTTGTGCATGCTCTCGCACGTGTTTAATAAGTGTTCCCTCTCGGGAGCGGGTACAAGGTTGTGTATGTGCATTTTTTTTTTAAAGTGAAGAGGACGGGTCTTTTCAAAAATCCTCCACAATACCTTTAAGAGTGGAGGCCTGGTGGCGCAGTAGCTGATGGAGATTGAGACTTCTAAGTCAACACATTCATCACCTCTATTTTTTTTTTTTATATATATAGAAATTCTCTCCTTTGAGTTTCTCTTTAAAAAAAATATTGACTGTGTCATGATCTGGTCTGTTTGCTCTCCCTTAATTGGTTATTTCTTTCACCTGTCGTTTTCCCTCCCTGCCACAATTATCATTTTTTCCTCTCACCTGTTTCCTTTGGTTTATATTCTGTTCAGCCTGAGCATTCAGGGCCAGATCATTATTTGTTTTTCTGTTAGTCTGTCCAGTTCTGTTCATTTGATGCCACGGTTCATGTTCAGGATCCTGGCGGCCAGTGGAAGGAGGGTTTTGTGTTTGTCTCGTCTCCTGATCGTCCACTGTTCCTCCCCTGCTGAGCCCTCTGGGTTTTTGGCTCTGTACGTGGGGAGGTTCAGTTTTTATCCAAGTAAGCCTTACAATATAATCGACACCACTTCCTTAGTATTCCATAACATTTTTGTATCAGATATTGTATTGATATTCTTACAATTGATGGACGATTAGAACACAATTTTTTTTTTTATACTAGTTTCGTTTCCACTACAGTTAAATTCTATACTCTGTTTAGAAATCTCAAACAGAAAATCTTGTTTTACCCTTGATTTATAAAGAAAATTATATGATTCAGCATCAAGCAGCATTTTAGGAGAGCTTGTTTTTCTCCATAGAAAGACAAAGATGCCTGAAGAATATCAGGAAATAGGTTTTGTAAAATTATTTTTAGTTTTTAAACTGCCTTAAAAATGGATAACTTTTGATTCATGGATTTAAAGTGGAAAATTTGACAAACTTATCGCATTTCCAAATGAGGAAAGGCACATGCAAAAGAACAAGTACATATCAGTGAACAGCTCAGCACACAGACACGTACATGAATGGGCACACGCTAAAGGTCTGCTGTGCATCATAGAGCTCCCATCTGTTGGAGCAGCGTCCAGGTTGGTCCTAATGAGGAATAATGAGCCTTCACTGAGCAAAAACAACAGCCTGGGCAGGTTTATTTTCCAATTCATAGTTTAATACAGCATTAAGAAATGAGGCCAACTCCTAAAACAGAAAAATATTGTTTATACAAATTTTAAGACAACTGAACAATGGCACTTTTAAGGAATGTTTTTCTTTTTATAACAACTAAGCATTTAGTCAATCTCCACATTCTGTAGGGAAAATTGGGCAAAATTGTTAAAATAATAATTCCAAACATGAAATCCAGAAAACAACCAAGTTTGCCACCTCAAACTACTAGTAAAGAGCATAGATTGGAATGAAAAAAACAAAACTTAAACTCAGACAAACTTGTTCTCTCATGCTGACATTTTCTTTTTCTCAAATTAATCAGAGCAGGACTGGATTTGCTCATCTTCAACACTAACCACATGTTTGTTTGGTGTGGCTGTGCACAGAGCACTGGGCATCAAGTCAGGGAATCCAACTGGCCTTGCACAATTTCAAGCTGAAAGAAAAAACAAAGAACGTTTTGGGGGGTTTCAAACTAAACAAACTTAATAAAAAAAAAAGAGAGAGAGAAATATATAAAAGTACAATCAGACAGGGAGGGATGTGGATGTTATCTAGCCAAGGTCTAACAATCAGGAACAAATGTAGCATGAATGCAACACTGAAAACGAACACAACAAACCTTATTGTAGAACTCTAGAAGCTGTTGATGGTTAAATTCAACAAAGATGTTCTCCTGAACCTGCACACAAAAAAAGAAACAAAAATAAGTATGATCCTAATGATGATAAACCAGAAATCACTAGAAAGAAAAAAATAACTCAATATTTCTCCATTCTGTTGGATCATTCTTGAGTCAATAGGGGGATTTTTGCATAAGCTTTTATAGGTTTACATACAATATTTAATATTTCATAAGAACTCCTAGTCTTTGAATTAAATATACCAGGATATATATATAAAACAAGATATTTAAAAGAACATTAGGATTCCTTTATTGAGTTTATGTAATCTTTAGAGTACTATCTAATTTATTTTACTGACAGTCCTGCCTCAGCAAAACAGAGCTTGTTAGCTTATTAGTGTAGAAGACAAGGTTAGATGTGACTTTTGCCAGGTCACGCAGAGGGTGACATCATTCATGTGTTGTATCTCGTTCCTTACACAACAATAGTTATACACACAGCAGTTTATTCATTTTTTTGTGCTGTTGATGTAGTTTGGTTCATATTGGTAACAGTACCAAATCAAAGCTTTGAAATCAATCAAGAATTGTTGAAACTTGGGATGAACTTTTATTGTTTGGCCTCTTTTTAGGCCAAATCTCTTTATTCGTTTAATCTGGTCGATAAATTATTTAGGCTTATCAAAGCCTTTTCTATTTTTTCTTTCATTCACTTTCAGTTAAAGATTTTGTTTTGTTTCTCAACAGTTCAACCTATACCTCTTCAAGGTCGAAAAAGCTTCTAAACCAAAGGGATAAAGCAGGAAAAGAATTTGAATTGAATCTATGAAGACTCAAAAAGTTATAATGTATTTCTATTTGTTTGACATCAAACAGTAAAGGTCCTGTAATAAGTATTTTTTGAATATCAAATGAAGTTTATCTGAGCAGGACCGTTTTTTAAGGGCAATGGCTTTAGCTTTCTACTACATCTTCCACTTCTTTAAGCGCACAATGTAATTTACAAACACAGGAAGTTTAAAATGCTTATCCCCCCTCCCCAGAAATACAAAAGACAAAAAAAACAAACACATTAAGATGGCTCCTTTACTCCAAAACGAGGGCCTAAAATCAAAAGGTGGACCCTCATTATGTGTTTATTGTAGGATTAATATCATTCCCCCGTTTTTCTCTTTTCATTCAGAGAACAATATGCAGCTGCCAGACTATAAAAGGGAAGCGTGGCTCCACAGACAGCCACCAGCCATCTCTCTCCTGCTATTATTATCATCATAATCACTGCATCAGATACGTGACAGGACAATAACCCACCTTCATGAGCAGGTGTAATGGTGAACTACTTTATCTGTACTCGTGCAGAGAAATGGCTGTAATAGGTAAAATGAACTTTAGAGGCACAGAATGAGAGGAGAAGTCTTATGGGGAGGAAATGCGCACGCAGGGCTTTCTTAGGCTGATAAAACAACTGAAGTCTTGATTCCGGCAGGATGTAAGAGTGAAGAACTAACAGATGAATAAAAAGAAACAAGTTTAAAGAGTAAAAAAGGGTTTAAAGCCACATGTGAGGCGGCTGATTGTACTCTCATCTCCAGTTCTCCTCCCTGTGGTTTGGTGCTTAGAGATTAAAGAAAGCTTGGGGGGCTTTGAGCTAACTGGCTGGTTGGGTGGGTGGCTGGGTTAGAGGGGATATGTGTCACAGTAAATTAATGCCAGAGATATTAATTAGAAGCAACATTAAAAGATCATAAAGGAGACCAAGGAGAGCCGTTATCTGCTGTTGAAGCCCTCTGAAGCACGAAGTAAAATGTAGGACACATTTGAATTTAGCCATAGCTTTGCAATCGCGCCAAAGATCTACCCTGCAGGAAACCAAGTCAAATATAAAAGTGTTAATATAACTAAATGGAAAATTAGCAATGCAGCATCTCATTTCTTAAAGTGATAAATAATTCTGTGGGGGAAATAAAAATTTTTGTTTGCAAGTTATTTAATGCGATATGAAAATTGTGCACGATGGTGAATCATTTCAATGATGAAGAGCTGGTGCCTCCAGCAGCACTAATCTCTTCTCGCATCAGTCTGGTTTTTATTCATCTCAATGGCGGTGGACACAATCAGAACGATGAAAAAGCAGTGCTTCATAATCACTTATTTCTTTTACTGGCTTTTGGAGAGTCTGGGCCACAGAAACACCACCAACCATGATGAAAAAATAAATAAATTTTAGAAATAAACAGCCGACTGAGGAGTCTTTATCTCTGTCTGACAGAGGTGAGTCAGGGGCCGATGGAGGTGAGGTTTGTTTGTGAAATGTGTCCATCAAAACTAAATAACAAGGAAGTGGAAAAACAGAAAGCCAGACTGGATCACAGCTTCTGTCTGTCGCGTCTTTGCTGAGAGTGAAAGTATGTTGATGTATGTTTGCTTGTCTGTGTGTGTATCTATGATTGTGTTGGGCCCATCATGTTGTTCCTTAGGGTTGGGATTTTACCATGCTGCAACCCAACAAGCCTCTGACAGATCTGGGCTAACACTGATGGGAATAAGATGCATCATCTTCATCATCTCAGCCCCTTAAAGCCAGCATTAACATACAAACACACTCATAAATGTACATTCATCTTATCTATCTCAGCGGCAAACCTTTCTCTAAATTTCTGTAAACATTGATTATTTAATTGAAGTTGTCGCATCTCCTTAAACATCATTACATTGCTTATATAATGTACCTTGCTAATTGTTAAGGGGAATTTAAGCAATAGATAAAAACAATGTTGACTGGTGCAAAAGAAGGAAAATAATTCATGGCTGCAGAACATAGTCGTTTGCATCTGTCTTAACTCTCTACTATAACACCCCTTAATAAAATTCAGAGCAACCAAGTGCATCAATATTCAAGGCCTAAGGGTTTGCTGGAGAACATTAGAAAGCAACCAGGATAAAGAATAGCAACAAACCCAGTAGACAGCTCACTGATAAGGCTTTAGAGAGCTTTAATACAGAGTTGGGTTATAAAATAGTATCAGAAGCAAAGCAGATGTCAAATTATCATCCAAGAATGGAAAAAGTATGAGAAGAGCTTTAATTGCAACATGTACAGCTCAATTCTGAACTTGTGCCTACATAACACAGTATGACAGTGTCTGATGGACTAAGGCCCCGTCCACACGAAGTCAAAACGAACACGAAACGCTAATATTTTCCAGAACGTTTGTCATAAAGACGGAGACGTAAAATAAATGTGATCGTCCACACGAATGTATGCCACCTGTAAGTGGCGC